CATAAATTGAATTGCCTGAAGCGCTGGAAGACGTATTTTTTTTCAGGTCTCTAAGTCATCTCGGAGCCGAATTATGAGGTCTTGTAAATGGCGTTATGAGTCACGAATTTCTGAGGCAGACCCCGCCCACTTTGGTGCATGGTTAGCCCAACAATGGCATTCAACCCTACTCCATACCTCAATACTTATGCACATTTTCCCCGGTCGCCGGAACTTCTAGGAACCGAGTTATGAAGTACCGTGGCAAACTCCGCCCACTTTAATGCATGCTCCACCTGCCCACAGCACTTGACCCCCTTCCCTCTGCCAACACTTATACGCTTTTCCCCACACCCCGGGACTCATAGGAACCGAGTTATGAGGCTGGTTGCAAACTCCGCCCACTTTGGTGTAAGCTACGCCCAGCCTTGACATTTAGCTTCTCCTCTTCTCCTAACCTGTATCCACTGTTTTCAGGTTTCCAAGTCATCTCAGAGCCGATTTATGAGCTCTTGTAGAAAACGTCGTCTACTTCAGGACACGCTCCGCCCATTGTGGGCGGACCTCCGTTCACATCATGTGTGCTGGAAATACCTTAGACATCGCTGCCCTGCACTAATTTCTTTTCTGCTCTGTAGGCTTCCTCCTAACCTAGTTATTGATATTTTTATTGAGCACCGCTTTTCCAGAGAACGCCCCGCCCACCGAGGGTGGGTCTCCCCAATGAGCAACCCCGGCCTTTACGACTGCACCCCAGGCATTTATAACCATCTTTTGTTCCACGTCTCCGGAGCTGTTCGACTGAATTTGAAATCAACCGATGCACGCCACGCCCACTGTGGGCGGGGCTCCGCTTGGCTGATGTGTGTTTTTTACTTCTAGGGATATGGTATACCCATCCCAAACTTGACCTGGACCCTGTAGGTTGTTGTTCGCTTGATACCGAATTTCGTGACAGACGGACAGACAGACATAGCGCATTATATATTTAATCAGAAGGAATGACAAAAACAAAAACAAATTGTCGAGAACAATCAAAAATCATTCTTGATGCGCTGAACGTAAACTGTCGAGGCGTCCCTAGAAAAGCGCCAAAACAAGTTCTTTTAGGATAAACTGTACGAACCGACTGCTCTTCAACCCGGAAGTGGCAATTATTGTCCAGGTAAACAATGTATTTAACAGCGATAAATACGCCATAGTGTAAACAGTAGAAATGATGTTTACAGCGACACCGTCCCTACGTAACGCCGCTATGAAATGTGGTAATCTTCGCCAGCCCTGAAGTAATCACACCCCCAAGATACCATGATATGGGCTGGTCTGTTCAAACAGGGCTAACTGTCGCCTCCTCTTTGACCGATATTGACCGTTTATGGAAAGCCATTCTATGCGATATAGCAAAAATATTTATTAAGTGAAGTTAAAGCGAATTCAACTAGAGAAGTCGTCGTGTCGGTAACCCCCTCGAATGGTCGGTCTCCCACGGTGACGAGGTCGCCCCCTCAAATGTGGAACGGTGGACCATGTGACTCATTGTGGACGCATGTGGACGATTATGGACGCAATGTGGACGCAATCGTGGACATGACGTGACTCATGCCTTCGGCATAAAATTGGCTCCCAAGATGGCGACATCCGAACCAAAACTGAAAGCCCTGCAAAGCGGAATTTATAACTTTGGAATGTGGTTGCCCCTTGATGGGAATTCCGGATGAAAAAAGAAGAATCTCAGTTTCGAGATTTTACAGCCTTTCACCTGTGGATTTGTCTTGATGAAAGCACGCAGTTTTTCAGCAATCTCTCGATGATTCAGATTAGGGTCTTCTAGCATTTCAGAAAATTCTTTCAAAGCTGTTGGCAAGGAATCGATCAGCTCTGTAACATTCTTCTTCACTTCTTCCATATGCTCTTCGAATTTCTTCACTTGGTCCTAAAAAGTCGCGTAGTGATGACATTGCCCAAACATAAGCTCTCCAGTCTGTTTAATGGTCCCACCTCTACTTTATATTCCTTTGCCCATTCCTCAAGCTTCTCCTTTTCTTCAGCAACCGTGAGGTTATCATTAAACATAATTTTGAAATAATCTTTGCGAGCCTCTTCGCTGACATTTTCCAGATATGGCGGCTCTAGGGGCCTGTGAAGACCGCGATGTCCATGATGCCGTGGACGTCCTGGAACTCCGTGAGGTCCTGGTCCGCCTGGTCCAGGGGGTCCGTGAGGTCCTGGAAGTCCGCCTGGCCCAGGAGGTGCGCCTGGTCCACCTTGCCCTACTTGGCCGAGAACACAGGGCACCACAGCAGCGAAGACGAACGCGACAAGAGCTGCCTGCATACTAAAAAATTCAAATTGCTTCAGTTAGTTTCTGATGGTGCTCGAAACATGGAAGAAACAATCAAAGAAAGACTAGGGGGAGGGTGTAAACTAAGGCAGCTTCATTGAGAAGCCAGGAAATGTTGTGCTGGATCCGTTGGTGGCCAGACCGTTTTATACTGTTCAATGTGATGCGGATCTTTTGCCCTTGCGATTCACATTGTCACTGGAATGGGATCCGTTTGCACAAATAAAGGCATCCAATAAATTATTCACACAGAAAAATTTTGAAAAAAAACTGTGAAAATAAATATTGTCTGTTCAAAGAGTTCCAGCTGTCAGCTAGTCTAATTCCGCGGTGATATTCACCTCTATCGCTATTGATTTCCATGCTGTTGGTACAGAAAGCTCAAATGTCTGCTTCCTGAATGGAAGAGCTGTCACAAAGGTTAGAGCGCACTTAAAGTGGAGTTCTCTCATTCAAATGTGGAAGTTTGCCAGCAATTCTACAAGGGTTTCTACGAGGGTTGCAAAAATTGCCGTTTTGTTTTTGAGTCTTCTTTTCTACAACTACATCCACTAGCCACTTGGGATGGTAAGAAAGTCCTGAGCCGATTTTTTGAAAGCTCCAGAACTTTCGCTTATTGATCGATACCTAGAATCTGCTACGTGATAGATTATCGCTGTCGATCATACTTCTCCGCAGTAGGTATATATAGCCGGGTTGCCTTCTTTAACTTTAATCATGATGTCGATTCCACAAGAGCACTTTCGAGCGATCATCTTCAATGAATGGCGTTGCGGCACAGGAGCAGTGGAACCGTCAACATCATC